AATCCTAATGGGCAAAGTTTTTGAAAAACTTTTGAAAAATATGGTTTTGAGAAACAATATATGTATAGTTTTTCATAACAACAATATAATTTGATCAAAACACAATAATTTGAAAAATAACAATTTTTTTTTTATTTCGAAAATTTTAAAAATTTGAAAAATTCTTGTGTTTTTGATGAAATTAGTTGTAACATCTAGTTTCTAATCACTAAATAATCAATGCCCATTCACTATTTCAACCTAGAACTAATTGAAACTAATCCTATGTTCAAAAATAATGAAATAAAGAGTTTAGAAAAATTTACCTTGAAATATGAAGATTGAGGGGATTTAGATGTTGTTTGCACGATTTTAATGATTCCAACAGGTTTGGAAGATGATTTATGAAGCAAATTCCGATTAATATCGTTGATTTGAGGCAAAAATGGAGATTTGAGGGGTTTAGAGGGTGAGAACGGCGGAGAGAGAGAGGAAGAGGGTTTTTGAGTTTTTGAGCATTTGGGGTTATTCTGCCCGATTTTAGCAGAACCCCAGGGGGGTATCGATTCCCCTGTGGGGGGAATCGGTTCCCCTTCAAAGGGGGAATCGGTTCCCTCAGGGGGGGGATCGATTCCCTCTGCACCAAAATGCTAAAATCTGAATTTTTAAGCACAAAATGCTAAATTAATCTTTTCTAGTGGTATTGGCAACTCATATATCAAACATTAATTATGTTCAAATAATTAAATTAATCTTTAATTGATTTTTGAACATAAAATTAATTTTCATTAAGAATCACAAACTCCCCCTAACTAATAGCAAGAATGCAATCAAAAAAATATAAGCATTTTTCAAGATTTATTAAAAGTGCTAAAATTATTTTAAACACTAAGTGAAGATAGATTGGTCAAACCTAATTCTCTCCTAAGTGTCCAAAATCTTTCCTTGTCTAAGGGTTTTGTAAAGATATCCGCTAATTGGTGCAAAGTATCAACAAATTCTAGAACTACATCTTCCTTAGTGACATGGTCTCTAATGAAGTGATGTCTTATTTCAATGTGCTTAGTTCTAGAGTGTTGGATGGGATTTTTAGTGAGACAAATAGCACTAGTATTGTCACACTTTATAGGAATAGTACCTACTTCAATTCCATAATCAAAAAGTTGTTGTTTCATCCATAAAACTTGTGCACAACAACTACCAGCTGAAATGTATTCAGCTTCAGTGGTAGATAATGCAACACAATTTTGTTTCTTTGAAAACCAAGAAATCAGCATATTTCCAAGGAATTGGCAAGTACCGGAGGTGCTTTTCCTATCTAATTTGCATCCTCCATAATCCGCATCAGAAAAAGCATGCAAGCTAAAACTAGAGTCTCTAGGATACCAAAGTCCTAAACTAGGAGTGTCCTTAAGGTATCTAAAGATTCTCTTAACAGCTAGTAAATGTGATTCCTTAGGACATGATTGAAATCTAGCACATAAGCAAACACTAAACATAATGTCCGGTCTACTTGCAGTTAGATAAAGCAAAGAGCCAATCATTGACCTATATAGTTTAACATCTACACATTTACCTCCTTCATCTAAGTCAAGCTTTGTTGAAGAGCTCATTGGAGTGTTATGAGGTTTCCCATTTTCCAGTCCAAACTTCTTGAGCATATCTTTGACGTACTTAGCTTGATTAATGAAGATGCCATCTTTTCTTTGCTTGATTTGGAGTCCCAAGAAAAATGAGAGCTCCCCCATCATGCTCATCTCAAATTCACTTTGCATTAGCTTAGAAAATTCTTGACAAAGAACATCATTAGTAGAACCAAATATTATATCATCAACATAAATTTGAACTACTAATAAATCTTTACCTTTTCTCTTTAAAAACAATGTAGTGTCAACCTTTCCTTTTAAAAAACCTTTTTCAATTAAAAAATTTGACAATCTTTCATACCAAGCTCTAGGAGCTTGTTTTAAACCATAAAGAGCTTTTGTCAATTTTAAAACATGATCCGGAAAATTTGAATCTTCAAAACCTGGAGGTTGTTCCACGTACACTTCTTCTTTTATAAAACCATTTAAAAATGCACTTTTAACATCCATTTGATATAATTTAAATTCATTGAAACATGAAAATGCTAATAACATTCTAATTGCTTCCATCCTAGCTACGGGAGCGTATGTTTCATCATAGTCTATGCCTTCTTCTTGAGTATAGCCTTGAGCAACAAGTCTAGCCTTGTTCCTCACTATATTACCACTTTCATCAAGTTTATTTCTAAAAACCCATCTAGTACCTACAGTAGATTTATCACTAGGCCTTTCAACTAATGTCCATACTTTACTTCTCTCAAATTGATTTAATTCTTCTTGCATAGCCATAATCCAATGTTCATCTTTTAATGCTTCTTTGATGTTCTTAGGCTCTATGCATGAAATAAATGCAACATAATTACAGATATTTCTAAGAGAAGATCGAGTAGTTACCCCTTTTGATGGATCACCTATAATTTCACCATCTTTGACATAGTTGTACTCTCTTGGAAAAGATACTTCCCTTTCTTCAATGGTTGGATTCTCGAGGGGATCACGAGTTTTCTCATCTTTTGTTTCTTCCTTTGATGATGATTCTCTAACGTCATATCTAACGTCATTTGCTTGTACAATACCTACATCATCATTAACAGAAGAATCCTTCCTCGGAAGGGGATTATCATCGAAAACAACATGTATAGACTCTTCTAAAACTAAAGTTCTTTTATTAAATACACGATAAGCTTTAGAGTTTAAGGAATAACCCAGAAAAATTCCTTCATCACTTTTAGCATCAAATTTACCAAGATTTTCTTTACCGTTGTTTAAAACAAAACATTTACATCCAAAAGGATGAAAATAGCTAATGTTAGGCTTTTTATTTTTGAGAATTTCATATGGAGTTTTCTTTAAAATTGGCCTAATCATTACTCGATTTATAACATAACAAGCGGTATTTGTGGCTTCCGCCCAAAAATATTTTGGCAAATTATTTTCACAAAGCATGGTTCTAGCCATTTCTTCTAAAGTTCGATTTTTCCTCTCAACAACTCCATTTTGTTGAGGGGTTCTAGGTGCTGAAAAATTGTGGCTAATACCATTAGAATTACAAAACTCAATAAATCCAAGATTTTCAAATTCAGTTCCATGATCACTTCTAACACTAGTGATAGAGTATCCTTTTTCATTTTGGATTATTTTTGAAAATGTGATGAAATTTTCTAATGCTTCATCTTTAGTACTTAAGAATAGAACCCAAGTGTATCTAGAATAGTCATCTACCAAGACAAATGCATATTGTTTTCCTCCCAAGCTAGTAGTTCTAGTTGGCCCAAAAAGATCTAAATGGATCAATTGTAATACTCTACTAGTTGATACATCATTAATAGATTTAAAAGAAACTCGTTTTTGTTTTCCTTTAGCACAAGCATCACAGATTTTATCATTATCAAATTTAAGCTTAGGCAACCCTCGAACTAAATCACCTTGAATTAGCCGTTGCAGAACACTCATACTAGCATGACCTAGTCTCCTATGCCATAACCAACTATCATGCTCATCCTTAGCAACTAGGCATAAATTAGTCATATCAATAGAATCTAAATGCACCATGTAAATGTTTCCTATTCTATGACCAACAAGCATAATCCGATTAGATGCAATGTCAATGACTTTACAACCATTAATTTCAAATAAGACATTGAATCCTTTATCGCATAATTGACTAATACTCAATAGATTATGCTTTAATCCATTCACATATAAAACATTTTTAATTTGTATGGAAGAGGTATTACCTATTGTACCAATACCTTCAATGTGACCTTTTGAATTGTCTCCAAAAGTCACTTCTCCTCCATTTTTGGCGTTAAGCTCAATGAACCGGCTTTTGTCTCCGGTCATATTTCTTGAGCATCCACTATCAAGGTACCATGAGTTTGAATTTGTTTCCCGTGCCTTGTAGCAATGCTCCTTTCCCTACAAACATAGATTAATTTTTGATTTTTGGTACCCAAATTCTTTTGGGTCCATATTCATTAGTTTCCAAAATCCTAGTCCCTTTAGGTATCCATTTGTGTAGGATATTTTATCTTTAGTAGTAATGAGTTCTTTAGGAACCCACACACTTCTAATGATTTTTCCATTTGAGGTTCTTTGGGGACCTCTATGATTGTAGTTTCTAAAACTTTTTCTAACAAAGTTGGATTTTGAATTTTCACCTTTTTCAAAATGTTTTGTTCCAACTTTATCAAAAGAAGTTTTAAGATCATCAATTTTCTTTTGATGATCATCATTGATCTTTGAAAGTAAATTTTGCAAATCTAAATTTTTCTTTTCAAACTCTTCTAGTTTGATTTGCAAATTTTTGATTTTACTTTCAAGATCGTTGTTGGTTTTGGATATGAGTTTGTTTTCATTTTTCAATTTTGAAACATCATTTTTATATTTTAAAAACAATTTCTCATAATCCGAAGCCAACCCATTGTACTCCTCAAATAACTCATCATAAGATAAATCATCAAAATCAGATGAGTTAGAGGTTACCTTAGAATCTTCCCCGAATGCCATCAAGCACAAGTTTGCTACTTCTTGTTCCTCTTCATCGGAACCTTATTCATCGCTCCATGTAGCCACATGAGCCTTGTGCTTATTCTTTGATTGACCCTTTTTCTTCAATTGTGGGCAATCATATTTGACATGCCCCGGCTTTTTGCATTCATAGCAAATGATTGGGTCCTTCTCTTTTGGTTCATTTTTGAGGCCTTCGTTTCGTTTGAATTTTCTTCCTTGGTAAGGTCTCATCATTTTTCTGAACCGTTTGGCAAACAATGCCATTTCCTCGTCATCATCATCATTTGAATCACTCTCATCTTTTGTGGATTTGAGAGTAACTCCAATGTTTTTCTTCTTCTCCTTCTCCTTTGGTGTCTCTTCAACTTTATCAAGGTCCACCTCATCTTCAAGCATCATCTCATGAGTGAGGAGTGAACCGATAAGTTCTTCAAGAGTTAAGGACGATAGGTTCTTAGACTCGATGATTGCCGTCTTCTTTGATTGCCATGATTTTGGGAGGGAGTAGACTAACTTCCTCACAAGCTTTTCATTTGAGATGATCTCTCCATATGATTTGAGACCATTGACAATCGTTGAAAATCTATCCGTCATAGCTTTGATGTCTTCATTTGGTTTCATCCTGAAATTTTCATAGCTATGCGTTAGAATACTAATTTTTGATTTCTTTACCTCATCTGTACCTTCATGTGTGACTTGAAGTTTGTCCCATATTTCTTTGGCGGTTGTACACGATGAAACTCTTCCGTATTCATCTGGTCCAAGAGCACAAAAAATAATATGGATGGCTTTGGAGTTGAGCTGAAACATTTTTGTCTCTCATTCACTCCACAACCTTGGATGAGTGAGAGGTTTGATGTATCCTTCTTCTACAGCATTCCATGCTCCCATGTCACTTGCTTGAATGAAGTACATTATTCTATTCTTCCAATAGGCATAGTTAGCTCCATTGAAGAAAGGAGGCTTGTTGACAGGCATCGAATCGAGACCGGAGTCGAAGTTTGAAGTGGAGGCCATTGATGACTTTGTAATCGATGTAACTCTTCCCGGATCGACTCAAGAGGCGATTAAACCTTCAAATGAGTTAGGCTCTAATACCAATTGTTGAGTTAATCGAATGACGAAATTGGCCAAGAGGGGGGTGAATTGGCAATAAAAATTTTGTGGAAGCTTTTGCAGAAAATTGAAAGCAATTGCACAGCGATTTACAGTGGTTCGACTTTCTCAAACAAAGTCTACGTCCACTACCTTAGCTATCCACACTAAGGATTTTCCAACAAATTCACTAATTTGTTCTTTCTTTTGAGGCCAAAGAGATAACCTTACAATTCCCTCAAGAGTATACCCCAACTCTTGAGAACACTCTTTTCTCAAAGAGAAGATTACAAATTTGCAAACTTACAAGAAAACCTCACAAGGTAAGATGTTTGCACAATTCTAGAACAAAGAAAAGAACACTCAAAGATGAATACAATTGAGCACAGAAAGTGTTCTTGAAAGCAAAATGAATATTGAATGAAAATGGGCTTGAAATGCTCAAACTTGAGGTTTGATGCTTTCTCTTTGATTCTCTCTTGATTCTAGTTGCTTGATGTTTCTTGTTGTTGATCAATGGCTTCTAAGCTTGCTTAAATACACCTTGGATCACTTCTGAACGTTGGGGATAATTAGAGAAGATATTATAGCCGTTTTAGTGTGAAAACATTTAATAAAACAGCTTGGACAGTGGAGGGAATCGGTTCCCTCTCATAGGGAATCGGTTCCCTAAGTGTAAAATTCAAATATTTCGACCGTTGAACAAGGGGGGAATCGGTACCCCCTTGGGGGGAATCGGTTCCCTCCGAGCATTCTGGAAATCTCGGAGCCAAACCATTCAGGGGGAATCGGTTCCTCCTATGGGGGGGAATCGGTTCCCTCTGAGTAATCTGGAATTTTTGGCTTTGAATTGGTTCGAAATACTTTATAAAATATTTTGAAATTGTTTTATGATTAAAACTTAATTTTACACTTAAGTAAGGATCAAAAATGATTTTTGAAATATTTGGAGTAATGTTTTGATATTCGAATAGTTATATCGAATATACTTAGAAAATCATTTGGAAAATCTTAAAATCCATTTAACTTAATTTGTTATATCGAAATATTAAAATGTTTCAACAATATCACATGTGCATTTGAATCTATTCACATATATCATGTATGCATGTTTATAACTATTGTACTATAAAAAATCAACATAGGAATTAGACTTATCACAACTCTTATTTCATTGTACTATACTTATAATATGCACTCACATTGGCCTTGCTTTCGTTGATTCAATCCTAACTCTTCGATTGTTCCGGAACAAAATTACCTTTTATATCTACATAAACATAATTTCCAAGATGGTTATCAGAAGCCTAACCCTTGTAATTTGATACTAACAACTTAGACTAATTTAATGAACCAAACTTCAACTTTTCCTTTAGGGGGTATCGATACCCTCCCCATAGGGAATCGGTTCCCCCTGCATAATCTGTAAAAACCTGGAATTTACTGTTCAAACCCAAAAATCATCAACTCTTCACTAAATTTTTCTCATACAAAGTTCCTTTCATACCACCAAACTTAACTACAACCATTTTAACTAACTTCTATCATTTCAACACTTTAGAATCTCTCATACTTCGTTCAAATTCTTAAAGCTAAGAATTATACACAAATTTCAACATGTTCTAAATCCAATTATAACATTCCATATTCCTTAATTAACCTCTTGACAAGTCAAAAATCTTATTCAAACTTCAAAAACTCATTCATATCAAAATTTCATCTAAAAACCCATTTTTCAAATCCATCTCTAAAATACTTATCTTGTTGTTTTAATGCCATTTAAAAGCTTTCCTTTAGCTTATATAACATCCAAACTTCAATTTCCAAACCAAAAAATCAAAGAAACAACCAATGTTCAGATTCTTAACTTAATATGCAGTCCACGTTGAAGAAGAAGAGAGTAATATGATCTTCCAACTCTTCTTCCCTTTTTTTCATATATATCCCATCCAAAACCATTAAAAATATCTTTCCCTAAAATTTACCATTTTACCCTTATTATAATTTCATATTTACTATCATACCCAACACACAAAATTCCCCCATAAATCACTATACTTATCACTTTATTCTAATTCACCAATTTAATTTATAAGTTCTTACAATTTAGTCACTTACCCGATAATTGGGGTGTTACAAATCTCCCCCTTAAGAAAATTCATCCTTAAATTTTTATTGCACGAACAAATGGGGGTACTGATGTCGTATATCCTCTTCACGTTCCCATGTTGCCTCTTCTACCTTGTGATTTCTCCATAGCACTTTGACCAAAGGAATAGTCTTATTCCTTAGTTGTTTCACTTCGTGAGCTAATATTTGAACATGTTCTTCCTCATAAGTCAGGTCATATTGAATCTTAATCTTTTCTGGTGTCACGATATGAGTAGGATCAGATCTATATCTTCGAAGCATTGAAACGAGGAAAACATCATGAATCTTTTCTATTTCAAGTGGCAAGGCTAATTGATATGCCACTGGTCCCACTCTTTTTACGATCTCATAGGGTCCAATGAACCGATGACTCAACTTTCCTTTTCGATCAAACCTCAACACCTTCTTCCATGGAGACAATTTTAAAAACACTTTATCTCCGACGTGAAACTCAATTTCTTTCCTTTTTAGATATGCATATGATTTCTGTCTGTCTGCTGCAGCTTTGAGATTATTCTAAATTATTTGGACCTTTTCTTCTACTTCCTGAATTAGCTCAACACCAAACACTTCTTTATATTTGAGCTCGTACCAGTTCAAAGGCGTACGACACTTCCTTCCATAAAGAGCTTCATAGGGAGCCATTTTAATACTCGACTGATAGTTATTGTTGTAGGCAAATTCGACAAGTGACAAATATCTTTCTCACGATCATTTGAACTCAATTACGCATGCTCTCAACATGTCTTCCAAGATTTGAATAGTCATTTCCGATTGTCTATCAGTTTGAGGGTGAAAGGCCGTACTAAAATTTAGGCGAGTTCCTAATGCTCCATGTAAGGATTTCCAGAATCTCGAAGTAAATCGAGGATCTCGATCAGAAATTATATAAATAGGTACACCATGCAACCGTATAATCTCTCTTATATACAACTCATCATACTTGTCCATAGAGAAATTAGTTCGCACCGGAATAAAATGGGCTGACTTAGTCAATCTGTCTACAATCACCCAGATTGAATCTCTTTTGTTTGGAGTTAAAGGTAACCCCGTTACAAAATCCATCGTTACATTCTCCCATTTCCATTGAGGAATCGTCATTGGTTGCAATAATCCTGACGGAACCTGATGCTCAGCTTTGACTTGCTGACAAGTCAAACATTTGGACACAAATTCCGTAATATTTCTTTTCATTCTTGGCCACCAATAACGACTCTTGAGATCCATATACATTTTGTTTCCTCCCGGGTGCATTGTCAAAGGACTATAGTGAGCTTCCATTAATAAATCATTCTTCAACTCATCATTATCTGGAATTACTAATCTCCCTTGATAGTATAAATTTCCATCAGCTTTTATCTTATAATCATTGAGCTCTCCGTTCTGTACTTGTCGTAACCTTTTTGTACACTTTTCATCTCTAGCTTGTAATTCCTTGACTTTTTCTATCCACGATGGTCGAAGGGATAATTCCGCACATAAAGCATCATCATCATTCCATGATAACCTAGCATCCAGGGATCGTAAGACTACAAACGTCTTCCGACTTAAAGCATCTGCTACTACATTTGCTTTTCCATTATGGAAGTCAATTACTACATCATAGTCTTTTAGAAATTCCACCCATCTTATTTGCCTTAAATTCAACTCCTTCTGAGTCATCAAGTACTTTAAACTCTTGTGATCAGTATATAAGTAGCAACGTTCACCATACAGGTAGTGATGCCAAATCTTAAGAGCGAAGACTACTGCAGCCATCTCCAAATCGTGTGTCGGATAATTCTTCTCATGCGGTTTTAATTGCCTTGAAGCATATGCTACCACTTTACCCTCTTGCATCAACACACATCCCAACCCATTATGGGATGCATCACTATAAACCACAAAGTTCTTGCTAGACTCAGGTTGAACCAATACTGGAGCTTCTGTCAAAATCTTCTTTAACTTTTCAAAACTTTCCTGACATTCCGGATTCCAAGAAAATTTAACCTCTTTCCTCAATAACTTAGTCAAAGGTAAAGATATCATCGAAAAGTTATTAACAAACCTTCGATAGTAACCCGTCAATCCCAGAAAACTTTGAACTTCAATATATTCTTTGGGACCTCCCATTCTAGAATAGCTTGTACTTTTTAAGGATCTACTCGAACTCCTTCCGCCGAGATCACATGTCCGAGAAATATAACTTCA